CAGTATGAAAATGTTTATTAAACCAATCTTATTCCTGGGTCCATTAAAGAGGTGCACATCAATCAGATAGGGAGAAAATGGAGAAGAACCAACCTGCTGCATTCGATGACAGTGACTCTGAGTTTTCCTTCCACCAGCCGGCTGTCCTGGACAGACAGGTCCAAGTCACAGGCTGAACCCGGCGGAGGCTGCACTTGGAATGGAAAGAAGGGCTTGTATCTGCAGAGGGAGAAAAACATAAAGATAAAAACTCACAGGACAGTAGAAAACCCAGACCCAAACACGGAGCTGCAGCTGGAGGAGGAACAGTGCAGGTGGCGTGCTAACCAGTAACCTCCCAGTAAAGCCCAGATAACCACCCAGAAAATGTTAGCGCACTACGCTACGCTCCCACTCAACTCTTTCAAACACAGGATGTTAGGCTCAATTAGTGAGAATTCACCACAGCCTATGGCTGCAGCTGCCCAAAGACCAAAGCTCAGCACCATGGAACTGTCCTCCTATATTATGGGATGTCTCAATTGGTTAGTTCCGTTTAAAGTGAGCTGTATGGAGGGACTGTTGTCCCATTATTGTTGCAAGTAGGTAATATTTTGAAATTTGAAAGTTGATTTTTAAAAAGCCTGAACGGTCCGTTCTAATTTGGAACAATATCAATTTTCTTTTATAAATGTCATTTAATATAAAAATCACTCAACACCTTCAAAGTTTGAATCCCGTCTTACTGAAGAGCATTGACCAATAGCTGCTCCCCAATAAGGCGATGTTTAGAGCACTGACAGCTCCAGTTAAACTGGGCACCAGCAGATCTCAGGCTTTCCGTCTGACTCTTTAGCTTCCTCTTTCTACGTTCCTCTACTTTCCCTCTCAGTCAGCGCTGCAGTGAGAGCGTGCTGCACAACAGGAAGTGAGAAAATGGACTTCCTCTTACCCACTTTCTACCAAGTTCAGTCAGAAATCTTCTGTTTTCCTTTGTTTCTACATTTGATGGAGCTCTGCAATAAATTGAAGCTCACTGAAGGAAATCTGAGCTGAATCAGAGCCCAAAGGGAAAATCCAGGGCTGGATCATACAGCATTTATTTCTTTTCCCTGATTCTGATTTAAGATCTGAAGCCAGGAGGGTTTAGAACCAACTTTTACCCAGGCTTTTATCTAACAATGAGTACGGGCTTAGATTCTACTC